GAAGATCAGATTTATCCTCCTCATCCAGACAGATTCACTGGTTGTTCTCAGGTCCTGAGTAGAGAGAGTCTGACTGGACGTTGTTACTGGGAGGTGGAGTGGACAGGAGTTGTTGGTGTAGCAGTGACATAGAAGGATATCAGCAGAGAAGGAGAATCAGATCAGTGTACGTTTGGATTCAATAACAAATCTTGGTCTTTACATTGTAACATGTTAAATTGTTTTTTCTGTCATAACAAAACCAAGACTAAAGTCTCAGCTCCTGGTTCCTCCTCCAGAGTAGGAGTGTACCTGGACCACAGAGCAGGTCTTCTGTCCTTCTACAGCGTCTCTGACACCATGACTCTCCTCCACAGAGTCCAGACCACATTCACTCAGCCTCTCTATGCTGGAGTTAATCTGAATTATTATTCTGGAACCACAGCAAAGTTCTGTAAACTCGGATAGACTTGAGTTTTTTTCAGCTTTAAATCTTTGAACTTTTTCATTGCTGTCGTCTGCTGTCAATCAAAACAAAGATGGTGGGCGGGCTCGTTTTCCAGTTGAAAATACTAGTCTGTCTTTGTTTTGTCAAGTCCACAGATATTAATACAGACTTCACACAGATCACGTTTCATTTGCTCTGGAAAAAAAAAAGTCTCTTCTCCGTGGATTTTGTCTGACCTGGAATAATAACAGTGAGGTGATGGACTGATGCTGAAGACTGTCTCCTCCTCCACTCCCTGCTTCAAACACATGTCCATCTGAGACACTGACAATATGGGGGTAAGGTCTGAACCTCCCCCACTGAGGCCTGGATCACAGGGTGGCTGCACCGTGACATCATGTTAGGAGACACAAGACCAAATACAGGAGCAAACAAACCAAATCCAACTCTGTCTTCAACCTTTATGGACAAAAGACAGAAAAGACGGGGACTTTAAAGTGTCTTCAAATCAGTCCTTTTCTTTTCACTGTCTCTGATCAATGTCTCTGACTGAAAAATATCTGTTGTGATCAATGATGTAAATCAAGTGAGGACATGTTTTGTAAATGTCCATTCAACGTGGGGACACTTTGACTTTTGGACACAGTTCTCCACCGTCCTCACTGAGGAAGAGAATATTTAAGGTGACTTAGATTGGAGTTGGGATTAGAATTTGGGTCAGATTAAAATTTGGGCCTGGATTGAGTTTGGGTGAGTTTTTATTGTCGGTGTTGGTACTAGGAGGGAGAAATATTTTAGCAGGTAGTATGAGGTGTGGGGAGTAGTTGAAGTACTGTACGTGACTTTGATTTGCAGTATATTTGTGTATTTAGGAAAAGTAGAGCAGTGGACCTCAGTGGATGGGCACGTCCACTGTTCCACATTGTGGGCCTTATCTTGGGAAGCAGCGGTGGCTTAGTGGTTAAGGAAGTGGACTTGAGTATGGAAGGTTTCAGGTTCAAGTCCACCAAGTTACCACTGAGGTACTCTGATCATGGCACCGTCCCCACACACTGCACCCCGGGCTCTTAAAGTGTTCAACTTGGTGATGGGTAAAAAAACAGAAGCTCAATTTTGTTGTATCCCTGTGTTACAATCACAATAAAGACTATAAATAAATATATATGTGTGTATATATTTTTTTGATAACCACTCAATGCACTTTATAGCACAGGTTTAAACATTGACCATTTTTTGTTCTTGAAACTACTACAGAGACTGATTCACTGTGTCAGCGCTCAGGTCAGAGTTTAGTCAAAAGTCCAGATTCAGTCTTAGTTTGTAAAATAACATTTAATAAAATGTACCACCCGTCAACTCTCTTGAACCATCGCCTAAAGTCACAATCGAATGTGTGTCAGCAACATGACAGAAATGATAAAAACATGACAGAAATGATAAAAACAGCTGTGGTAAAGTCATTGGAGCATAAATTCTCGTAAACTCATTAACCAAAGTACAGAGCCCCTCCCTGTGAGATTATTAGGTGAAGTTCTTTGTCCTGCTTCTCTATTCCTGCCCCACCTTCGCCTGGAATGAATCTCCTGTAATTACCCTCCCTGTTGAATCACAGTTAGCTCCAGTCTGACCTCATATTTTCTGGTCTCACCACCTATGGATTTACTCAAAAAAATTACTCAGATTTTCACAACATAATTTACAAGGACACATGCGACCAAAAAGAGTTAAGTTCCCAAACCCTAATTTCCTGCTCCAGGTGCTACATATGGATTTCATTGAACTCAATAAAAGTGAAGGACAGAAATACCGTCTAGTCAAAGTGGATGCCTTTTCTAAATGGGTAGAATTGTTCCCATCAAAAGCTGCTGATGCTGTTACAGTGGCAGAAGCACTGGTCAAAGAGGTGGTATACCAAGATTTGGTATACCACAGAAATGATTACGTGGACCAAGTCATATCAAGCATAAGCCAAAAGATTTAAAAATGTAAATGATTTAAAACACCACTGAGCTAAAAACAAAAGAAATACAAACTCCTAACTCTATGCCAGATACACCTATATCTTCGCAGGTTGACGATACGCCAATCCAGGTCGGCGACTGGATGCTGATAAAGGTCATCAAAAGGAAGTGTTGGTCGAGTCCAAAGTGGGAAGGCCCATACCAGGTCCTGCTGACGACACCTGCGGTCATAAAGATTGCTGGACGGCCATCTTGGATTCATCTTTCGCATTGCAGGAGACGGAGGTTCTTGGTACAGGATCCACGACAAAGGCGTACACGTTCGATCTGTGTTCAGTAATGAATTGCAACAATTGGAACTACACTTACAAACCTCATGACCTATATGTGTGTTTTCATAGTCCGATGTGAACATAATCTTCTGCCCCGTAGAGGATGGTGTGAAGACTGGAACATAGTAGTAGGATGTACAGGTCAGTGGATTCCCACGATGTCAGATAAAAATGTCTACAGAGACAAAGACATTTGGAATCGATTGAAAATCCAACGTGATTTTTCCAACACCCAAAATCCGATCACTATGTCTCTGAATTGGACTGAATTACCAACGAAGAGTAACTGGAAACTCTCTGGTAAAACAAATCAAACTGAAATATATTTGGTCCTTGGAGTAGATCAAACTGGAGTAGATCTAATCGGATTCATTAGAGCAGTAATTAGGAATGAAATAACGAAACATGACACAACTTTGTTTGACACCTGTACCTCAATCTCCCCACCAATTTGTAATAAAAATAAAACAGGAGCATTTACTCCTCATAAAGGCAAAGGAGACTATGTGTGCTATGAAAATGAATGTGTTGTGGAAAACCTAGCCTAGGGAGCCATAATGCAGGATAAGAGAATTTGGCATTCATCAATGATAAACAGGAGGGAAATGTTGGAAGAATTTCATTTATTATCATTGCTTCATGCTGTACTGTCGCTTTAAGAAACTATTTGCTTCTCATATTATAATCTGGTGTGCTCAAGACTGCTGGAGAAATTACCAGACACAGTCACACCCCATTCACACCCACCTTCTTACTCCATACCCATCCATATACGGATACAAGATCACATGATATATAATCTGATACTTTTATAATCTCAATAACAGTGCAGATGAAGGGTCTGGGAGTTGATGAGGAAATTACCAGACAGAGACACACCCATATATGTCATATATGTTAGAATAAACCTGACAGGTCCACTGCTCTACTTTTCTAAAAATACACAAATATACTGCAAATCAAAGTCATGTACAGTCCTTCAATCCAGGCCCAAATTTTAATCTGACCCAAGTTCTAATCCCAACTCCAAACTAAGTCACGAACCTTAAATATTCTCTTCCTCAGTGAGGACGGTGGAAAACTGTGTCCAAAAGTCAAAGTGTCCCCACGTTGAATGGACGTTTACAAAACATGTCCTCACTTGATTTACATCATTGATCACAACAGATATTTTTAAAGTCAGAGACATTGATCAGAGACAGTGAAAAGAAAACCACTGATACAAAGACACTTTAAA